TGGATTGGTTGAAGTTAGACATTAACACCGTTGTGTGTCAGCTCAGTGATGTAGATATTAAGCGTTCGATCGCGAGACTGATGGTCTTGTGTTCGAGTCTCTTTGGTGTGGGATCGTGGATGGGCACTACTGATGGGTTCTGTAATGGCACGAAACGGCCGTCCTAGTGCTACCAGGCTTTCAATGGTTTTCCAGCATTCATAATATCAATCTAAACTCAACAATTTGTACGACGTTATACTGATAATAAAATCATTGTCAGATTGCCAATTGAAATTCTCGATTCTGAAGTGAATACGTTTGTTGAAGTAGTGAGTAAATCAGTCACAACAGAGAAAACGTCGTAGAGCACAGACAACTGTATGTCTGCCAGTTTCTTACTCTTCTGATTGTTTCGACATACATGATTTAATAGGTAAGATTGCACGACGATATATTTAAATTGTTTAACACTCAGCTTCTGTATATGTACAGCTAGCTGTTAGGTGACACAAAGAATACGTGCTACTCACAGAGTATAACTGGAGAAAATTGATGGTTCTATCATGAAAAATATTTCAGATGTCATTAGTCGTGACCAATAGTTTACTGCTTTCTTAATCTTATCACGTTTTACCAGCACGGAAAGATATTTATAGAATAACTCAATTTTTAAATAAGCTATGTATTTTCTGGAACTACCAATAATTTACATTTGTCGTCGATCAATCATTACTCACTATCTATCGTCTTAAATCACCGTTTTTCTTTCCCAAATGTATAAGAAGAGATCATGTTGTGCATCGTAGGACCTTGAAGTATACACGTAGCTATGATGGTTTGTGTTTTGGCTTTATTATGAAGATGGTTGATGATAGTTATTTGAAATCTCACAAAAGCTATTATATGTTATTCGATAAAATACTAACCATTCCCTTCATTCTTCCGTATATATGGGCGAAGACTCTCATACATAAGTATCCGTTTTTGAAGAGGAAAATGAAAAGACTCAATAATATCGTATTTAGTTTATATTATCTTACGAAGAATTTACATGAGTGAAACGGAAATCATGATAATTGACTGTGCCAACCAGTATATCATTGTTATTATATTTAAGTGATTCACAAATCTTATTCCGGAGGAATTACTATTCTTTACACAGGTTTGACCAAGCGATAAGTCATCAATATCTATTATTTCGGAGCCTCATACTGAAAATTCAATTTTTCCACGTTTTCTTATTTATGATTATTCATAATAAATGGAATATGATTACAATTTACACCTGAATGATTAATCGAAAAATCTAGATTTTTCGGCAAAAAGTCTGAGTGAAAGTAAAGAAGTAGATGTTGTAAAATAAACACATATTTTGTAAGCATTCATGGAATAATTCGACCAACAAAATAAGCGTAACATTTACATTACTTAATCGTTGTTTGTTCAGTATATAAGAATGCCCTACAGATGGGTTTCTTGATCTATTGAGTCATTAAAGGATGTTCACAAAACTACTGAAGTTTACATGCTCAAATATTTGGAGATTTATCCGAACCGCCATTTGAACTGGCTTCCTCAACAGAATCACTGCTCTTCTTACTTTTATTATCTTCGTACATACGCTGCTGCAGTTTACTTTTTCAAATACATTTCCGAGATCGGAAACCTATATATTACCCACTTAACTGACAGAGACGTTACGAGTAATTGATCATTTCTTTGAAGCACCACTCACGTTTACTGGGCCACTAAGCGAGGCATAATGAAATTGGACATAAGGCTCTAGGATATGAACATTTTCTGACCAAAATGGGTGTGGCATGTTACGGACTACTTGTTGGAAAATTCAGAAAAATATCCCAAAAATTATCCTGTTAAGTCTAATGCTATCCTTGAACGTGAAATGGTGTCATTTTCCTGTTGGTCAATATTCACGGTAGTCCTTACTGTATAAATATGCATTTGTCTGTAAAGTATTATTCCTGTTCTCATTCTTCCCCTGACCCCATAAACAATTTCATCAACGGTTCGTGTTCTGATATATTGGAGATTGGGAAACAGTATTGGGGTCGTACTGGGATATTTGAAGTTGGTCAGTCGGTAGAAATCAGAGTAGCCACCTCGCGGTCCACAATACTATTACAATGAGAATAACTGGCTACGGCTAGATCAGGTTGAATAGAAAACAAGGGTGATAGAAATCCATGCAATCATCAACTGTTGGCTTTGATTTCATACGATTATTTACATCTTAAACTCTAATATTACTTCATGTTTATTTATCCTTACTTGTCTTTATTGAGGCGCATTCTCTATATTAATTTTCAATATCAATAGCATCATAAGGATTTCGATTTCTTCGCTCTCCGTTGCAATAAATTTCTCTATGTTGTACAGATAGTTGAACTGATGTACATTTGTGTCGAATTACACAATCTTTGTAAGTGACTAACATACCTTGAAATAGTAGTGCATGTTGTTCCGTCTGTATTATCCTCACATGCTCTTTTTTTTAAAAAAATCTTATTACTCTATGACTAAGTAGAACGTTAAAGGAAATAAGTAGACTTCCAAAGACTGACTTCAGGAGACACTCCTGGAGTTCTAATGAGAAGTCGTTACCAGTGGAGTTCAACCAGGTCTGTTGTGAGATAGGAACTCACTGAAGACAATGATGTACGGTGGCGCAACTTCGTGGATTGGTTGAAGTTAGACATTAACACCGTTGGATGCCGGCTCAGTGGTCTAATGGTTAAGTGCTCGCGCGCGAACCCAGTAGGTCCTCGGTTCGAATCCCGCGGGGGGCGGGTTCGTGGATGCGCACTGCTGAGGAGTCCCATACTAGGACGAAACGGCCGTCCAGTGCTTACAGGTTTTCCATGATGGTCTAGCTTCAATTGGCTCATGATTTCAACTTGTGAAATTTCAAAGAATCAATAAATTTTTCCATCTAGACCTTAATAAAATTAATCAAACAGAAAATAATCACAATATTATATTTGAATATTAAAACTAGTTTATCATTTCAAAACAATAAGTCGAAATTGTTCATCGAAAAGATTCATTAAAATCATGTAAACATTTTTATCTATGTAAAGTATACCTGAAAGGTTGATACTTCAATCGAAATTACGGTTGATTTGAAAAAAGAAATTAGATAAGTGTACATGATTAAAAAAAACAACTTGAGAAACTAGTAAAAAATATCAAACATGATAAGATGTAATTTTCATAAGTAATTGACATAGTATGTAAGCAACCAACAAAACGAGTTATTATTTAATCATAAATATCACTGAAGATTTTTGACAATTTAAAGTATAATAAATGATAACAATAACAAAATAAGTAGATTATGTTACATTAGATAAGGAGTATTTTCTTTCTTATTTGATTCAAAACAAACAAAAAGAAACCATCTTATTAAATTAAAAACAAATGTGTTTATGTGTTTGTGTGAAGATCCAACGGAATATTCTATCTTTATGACCTGAAAAGAAAACACCAATGAAACACTGGTATATCAAGTAATAACATGTTGAAAGTAAGTAAGCTATTCACAAGCTACATAAGACAATATAATCTTCAATAGAGAAGAACAATAACAAATAGCACAGTTACATAGAATATACATAGACTACTGGTATTACATTGTAGGTGTCCAGAATGCATTGCTTGTGTATAATGAGATTATAAAGTAAGAAATATTTGGGTTAGGAATAAAGTATTAGGTAAAAATGGGAAATCAATTGGTGAGGTAGTATATCTACCTCAACTGAGATGGTTGGGACATGTGTTACTTCTTCGACGAGCAACGATGTACGATATAGGTGTAGATTGAAGGAGAGCTAGGGCCGGACAAACCAAGACATCGCATCAGTCCATAATCACACTGACTACTGTAATGAGACATATATAGAGAGATGTAGATTTCCGCTTGGGGTCCACGCGATTATCGTAACTAGTAGTTGGACACTGGAATGAATGGTTCAAAATTGTTTGCAAATGATCAGGTAGATTCACTCCCAGTATTCCCTTAGATTCTAAGTCTATAAATGTTTTTTAATACACTGTTTTATAATTTCCAATTGAATTGTGTTTTGGATACATAATATTTTCTATTTTTACTAATACTACTACCATCTCTACTATTTTGTGATCTACCCTCACAATTTCATACAGACGAACTAATAGGCTATAGGACTTGTATTCACGTGACAGATTTTACGTTGCGTTTGACTGATTGAAAATAATTACATAGATTTAAGATGATGAATTGCAAAATAGTCGAGATTATTGGAGCGTCGATGATACTGAGGAATGCTTTAAATTGAGAATATGGCTCGAAAATACAGAGTGGAACTCAAGGTCTACAAGAAAATAACGAGTGAATGCATTCACGCTGTTGTGACGAGTTTTGAACTATGTGACCCAACGTATTCGACTGCTAATCGTGGTTTTCGTGTGGAAACCAAAACCGGGTAGTCTATATATACCTACGTCGCTCACACCAATAACTGAATGATTTCAATAAGGTTAACATCTGTTATTAATTTAACAACACTCAAATGAATATCTATACAAATAGGTAAACGTGAATCTACTGTTCCACTACTTAGTAGTTAAACAATGCTGAAGTGTCGGTGTCTAAGCAGTAAGAAATATCAATTACAATGTGTTCTGTAGTGGTATTTACATTTATCTATGAACGCAATGTAAACTATATTAATTTCAAGGGAAACATAGTTCTCATAAACTTTATATTCTTATCGCATTATCTAGAAAAGAAATATTAGTCTCAACAATTTAGAACAATGTCAAGATAAGTCATTTAATTAATGGAGCATAACCAACAAAGTGGTATGAATATCATTTTACTGAACTAAACATAGATCAATAAACAAGATAAATCTACTTCAAAGTATGTAAATTGTGAAACATACTTTTTCACATTGATAGACATCACTTGGAATTGGTTATTACCACTAAGGTTAATGTTTCAAAGCATTCAATGATAATTACGACGATGTGTCCACAGAACAACAATCATCAGATTCTATAACCGATGGCATTACATTGTTCGATTTATCATATCCATTATTTGAAGTATCAGGTGGATTTTGTCGAATAGCTGTATACAAGGCGAAATGTTAAGGACGGAAAAAGAAATATGAGAGAAGTAATTGAATAAATGAGTGAATTCATATCATGAACAAATAAATAACTCAATAGATAGAATATTTGGATGATGTTGAAATATTAACCAAACGAAGCCCCTAGTAATGGTGACAACTAGGACCAATATGCACTCGTGGCATGTCCAATGTTGGTAATGGGTGACTGGTGTTGTGTTCATTCAAAATTGCTGACGATTTACACGTGTTTTACTTTTACTATCGTGAGAAAATCTAACATCAAGATATAAAGTTTAAAATCCTGGAGGATGTAGTCCTTTCACTACTGTCTTGCACTCCAACAGCGAAACCAATACGACAACAGGGTATACTCGGAAGTGAATCAATATGAACCTCAATCTTCCTCGGAGTTTATGAACACGATCACATATATGAAGCAGAAGAGCATATAACTCTATTCAATATGAAGTTTTTCAACAAATCTGTTTATTAAAGAAAACGTATAAGAGGCATACCATATTGTAAAAATGATTTCCAGATAAAAGTGAAGCAGTGAGCCAACGGTTTGCCAAAATTCATCATTAGAAATTGCATTTATTTCGATATGTTAGGAATAACGAATATTTTTATTTCTATTCAGTATTATGATAGAAATATTGATGAGACTAACTTTCTTGACTCTGAGTAGTCAAGCATCAATCTAATTTTGTCACATGAGAACAACGTTATGTTAGGGTGATAAGATGACAAGATAAGAGCTTACTTTTGTGTTGGTTACGCTATTTGAGATGGATGGTTTAACTGTGGGGGTTTCAATGATGTTTTAGTAAGAGTTTATTTAGTTCGGGTTGAAGTATGATTATGTGGATGACTGATGATTTCCATATTCAATATTAGTTCTCCCAATGCCGTAGTGTTTAGTCAGTGATATCTAAAGTGGAATCAGACACATCGATGGATATTTTTGACATTTTCTCTGTACGTATTGATAAATGTGATAACACGGATATGAATTTAACTGGTAAAGTGTCAAAATATGCAATCCAGTAAGCTAAAAAAAACCTAGAAAATATCTTGAAGTACGGCATTCATGTTACCTGACAATCAATAGACATATCGAAATAGATACAAATGATCAGTTTTTATGATGAATCAACCAAATGATGATTAAATTAAGAGTAATAGATTTGTCACATATTAAAAGTTATTTTTTCTCAAAGAATTTATTAATTTTGGCAGTCAGTTAGGTACCATAAAGTTCAATAAATGAAATGGTGTTTAGGGCAATAACTCACCTGAAATAAGTTTACCTCGATTTACCGGAAGTTTTTTTGAAAAGTCTACATTTTCACCATCCATTATACTGTTAGTTTTTCTTAAAGATTTGAAAGCATTTGTCAATTCTGTAAGCATTTCTACACTAGGAGATTGTAAATTATTTTTAGGATTAGTTGAAATTGTTGATGATAATCTTTTGGTAGGTTCCACTGCTGAATCTTCAGTAAATATAAATGTAATTTATATAAATCAGAAAGTTATATACACAATCAAGACAAAGGTTATGAAAATTATTAATATGTGTTGTATAATATACTAGATATATGAAATGAATACTTGCAAAATGTTAAAAAGGAATTAAAACCATATTTGAAAAGAGAAATAATCATTTTCCAGTGTATATATATGATGTGGTTAGTGATAAAATAATAATGGTACAATGTGAAAAAAGAAAACTTTAATAAAATGGTTTTGAGATGGTGGAGAAGATCTGTAGCTCAGGTGGATGATTTTGATGGAGTTTTGTTCTCTGAGCTGGATGGTTTGGTCGTGGAGCTTTCATCATTCTTCTGAACGACATCATCAGCACAAACTTCTACGACCAAACCATCCAGCTCAGAGAACAAAACTCCACCAAAATAAAAACGGTTTGTATATAATACATGATAATGTAAACTTTGATATATTATAACTTGGCATTTCTTTCACGTTGCTATTTATCCAAATAAATGAATCAGGTTATTTTCCAAATAAATATTAATACTACATATTGTAAAAAAAATCAAGATATTAAGTTATGAAGCAGTAACGATATATTACTGATGTGAATATACCTTACCTTTTAATTTAACTTTTAAAAAAACTTACGCCAAAGATTTAGTAGACTCTACGGACGGAAGTGTTGAATAAAATAAGAATGTACTCCTATAGTGTAAACTATATATCGACAAATGGTTCAAACGTAAATAATCAATTCTGTATGAACTTAGAAATAAAGTAATGACTGACTGATAAAAAAACTCTTTTGTCAACGAATTAATCCAATTTTTTTCAAGTAGTCAGGGGATATCACTAGACCATACAAAAACATGTGGCTTGAAATACATTACACGGGCCTGTATTAGCTATGGAGTAGGATTTAAAACATTTATTATTATTTATTTATTTGAAAAAAACATTGATACAATGTGCGCCATACTTCACCATTCGATTTGTGTGAGGGTTGGAATAATCTCCAGACACCCAAACCGAATCGAATGATTTTCTTGGGCGAATATTGCATGAGCCTTTGACCTAGAGGTTTAATCAACAAGGTAGTGGAGTAACGTCAGTAGATGCAGTCCCATGGTATCCGGTGACCAACAATAGGTTCATATGCCATTTGTTCCCTAACGAACCTGAAGTCTATGTGCTCCATTAGTTTGGAATCATGGTTTTCCGACTTTCCTAGATGGATCCTCCATATCCACCAACCCAGTTAAAGTACTGGACATTCGCTTTTTCTCCTCTTAGTTTCATAAACAACACCCTCGCCACGAAAAGGCAGAGAGTAGGACTTCCCTGTCAGTGGCTGTATACACGCGGCCATGTGAGAGGATTTCGAGGGGAAGAGAGGACTCTCCTCATCCCACCCTCGGCCGTACCAGCGCATTCGGGGGAGTAGGATTTAAAACTTATTTTATTAATTATTATTTTCAGCTCAAGTTTACTTATCGCTGTCACTGATGTATATATCACAGATGTGATCAGTTTTCATTGTGAAACAGATGAGTACAACCATAAAAACAGAATTATTTTCAGTAACATATAAGCGCCATATTTGTGAGATAAACATCTTTCTTCCAATGAATTTACCCCCCCCCCTTCAAAGCTTATGAGATAATAATTTCGAAAAAAGAAAGAGGAATCGTAGGACAACAGCATAAAACTCTATCGTGACATTGATAAATTAAAGCGTCAGCGTAATCTATGATACGATAATCGGACACGATAACAAATACACAAAGTCAGGAGAATACAAACAAAAAGACCAAATTACAAGAAACGTATATATGTTATTAATAAGATTTGTTAATCATATATTACATATTATATCCTAGGTGAACACTGATTATTACTATGATAAAGAAATGTATGACATAGATTTAATATAAATTCAATCAAACTTAATACAAAATCAATTGAATTAGGATGATAATCTGTCTACCTTTCACTAATTGACAAACAATCATTAATATATTCACTATTTTTCCGACCACAGCTTAATACTTTAAACTTTGTAGGAGAGTAGTTTAGCGATACTTCAACAATATACATTCAAAGTGTAAAACGTTTTAAACCAATTTCTCGCGGCATCAAAAAAAGTTGAAATCTACACTGTGCATACAACAAAATAGTTAGGGGTGGAACTATATTCCCCCACAAACACATACATATAGCTACACGAGTTTCATCGAACCACAATACACAGAACCACATTTGCATCAATAAAATATTCAGAAGGTTCATGGAAAACGTGAAAACAAACGGAGGAGCTCACATAGCTTCGGATCACCACTTTCTCGAGACCGAGATGAGATTGGAGCTAAAAGAGCACTGAACAGCAGAGCAAACAATATTACAAAAGTTTGATACAGTCTTTCTTCGAGATACTGACAAACTCAATTAATTCAAAATAGGTATCAACAGCAGGTCAGGTTCCAACACTTACAACATTAACTTAAACAAGAGGAAGCTACTATGAACAACAACTGGAAAGGGATGAAGGAAGCACTGGGAAAAAAACTGGAAAAGACAACCGAAAACACTGTTGTTTTGTGAATACTGTTTGGCAGTCTATGCCCCACGAGCAGTGACAGGCGCAATTAAGTAAGTAATGCGTTGATCTTAATCTCATAAAATATTTCAGCAAACCATGTCTTGACACAACGTATAAAAACAGGTGGTTATAAGTTAAGGTGAATGCTAAGTAACACCACATTAATTAGCAAAAATTTGTTTACTATTCTAAAAAAACCTTATCAATAAGAGTAAATGCACATTGAAACTAGTGAATAGACTACAGTTACTGAAGGTGATTAAGAAAAGACGTTATTATTTGAGATTGTAATTTGATATATGATATAAGTATCCATTACAGAGCAATTGAAAGTATTTTAACACAAACCCAAACATATGAGAACTCTAACAGATCGAAGGTGTATCATACAACTTTCAAAGGTAATAATTTACGTGCTAATATCAGGCCAAGAGAGGAGACTGGAATTTCAGGATAGCTTAATATTCTGAATAGAAGTCTAAAATTGAATAAAATCAGAAAAATAATTGAGGCAGAAGAGTATGAAGTCGTTGTATTTTGTGTTTTCTCATTAACTGCTTACGACCATTGATGTGTAATAACGTGCAACACTGAGATATGATATAATGTGTGACAATATCTCAGCATTTAACTGATAGCGGGGATATAATCGACAATTCCCAATTATTAAAATCTATCGGTTTGCCGACGCAGTAGCAATTCAGAAACTTGATTTATGTCCCCAGATAGGGACAGTTATCCACCACCCTGATAAATTCACAACTTTGATTAATATCATCTGCAAGTATTTTTGTTATCATTATTTTACAAGTGTTTATTTTGTTATGCGGCTTTTGTTGAACTAACTCTTACCTCAACTACGCTAAAATCATACTTTCATTTATCAGTTTTTTACTCAATTCACCGAATTCTCTAAACTTATGTAAACTCAACAAACTTTGTACAATTATTACGTAACCCTTCGATTGTTAGTTCTAGACAATTATTACTCAAATTCTTTCTTTCATCAATGTCGATTACTTCATATCATTTCATATATCGATGTTGCACTTTAATACAAACACAGTTGTGCAGCTGTTGAGAAACCACGATGTATAATGAATCCACAGTATTCTGCCTCGACTGTTGTCATGGCTTTAATCAAATTTGTAAAAAGAACTAATTAGTGAAAATCCAAAATCCAAATGGAACACAATAAATGACAATAGATAAATGGAGAGCGGAAGACGATGAGGAAATAGAAAATAGAAAAAAAATTATCGACTTTGTACTTTGAAAAAATAATAGGGAATAACAAGAAAATAGATAACCTGAGGTCTCCTTAGCTTAAAACAAACTTAACTTTTAGGAACCCTTAAAGTAATGAGCCTGTGCCTTTTAATCTTGTATCTGTAGAACGACACGGTAAGATTAAAAAAACAAGATAAACAACCTCATAATGGTCAGGTTATTCAAGCAAATAAGTAAAATTAAGACTAGTGTACGAATTTCGGGAAAGAAAGATATGAAACTTAGGGGCTTGACTTATGAAACAATAATCTCCAACTCCAGCAAAATTAATAAAAGTTTGCCAAAAACAAGGTAAACAAATAGTATAAATTTGGATCCGCCAGTGTTGCTTACGACCTGACAACAGAAAACGGAACAAAATCAATCAATATCAGAGCAGGAGCGGTAGTGGTAGACATAGCATTCGTCGTAATGACATAGATTATTCAAACAGAATATGATTCCACAAGAATGAGTTGACGCAGTAAAAAAGTAGAACAAGTTTAAGATGTAGTAACACGCGACAGATATGGAACTAACATAGCTACAAATAACAACGAATTAAGACAACGACACAGAAAATAGCGTCGTGTAATCTAACAATCAAAACCATAACAAAATTACTAAGTTACAAATGTGGAAAAGTCAGTGGTAAAATTAATTTCTTAAAAATGAAAAAATTGATTTTTTAATTAATTACAGCAAAACAAAGGATCAGTTATCATTTCGTGAATCACTCATTTCAACAAAGTACCAATCGGACTTACCTGAATCTTTAAGTGATGGATCCGAATAATTAGCACGCATAGTGGAGTTCCGTTGTAAAGACGATGGAGCTGGTGGTGGGGGAGGTGGCGGTGGCGGTGGTATTGCAGAATGACATTCTTTCTCAGATTCCTAAGAGCAGTGAGAGAAAGTATCAACTACAATCACGTCATGTGAATAAAAATGACAAATTAAACTCAAGTACAACATCATCCGATTAGACTGATCAGACATTATGTTTACATTGCATACATACCAAAAAACATTGATTTTCCACATCCACATGGAAAAGAGACAATGAAACAGTCACAAATGGAATCCGCTCACCATAGAAATACAAAACCACAATAATACATTTGTTAAACACAACTCAATGTTTTAAACGCAATGCAACACAAATACAAGGCAGACATAAGAATAAAAAGCACCTGAGAACAATTGGAAAACACTGCCTAAGACGGATTTGATTGGAGAATACTGGTCAACAGCCTATGCTTCACAAGGGGTAACAAGAATAATTAATCAAGATAACGTTGTTCAGATTACAACTATTTAACCCAATCTAATTTACTGTCTTGTACATCCTTATCTGAATTAATCACAATTATGATTATAGTGTATTGATCAGATAAAATGATTAAATGGTCGTACCAGATGTAGGAATATAATAACGCTTTATGTAGTGAGTAAAATCAAAGTCAGAACACAACACACAACATCGTCGTCAAACTACATTTTGTGAACAAACAAGAATACCACGACCAGATACACAAACTCAACAAAATCATTCAAATAAAAACACAACACTCCTTAGAATATATGTTTTTCTAGGCAATATCCATAAACAAACCTTCTTTGTAATGGACGTCATTGTGGTAGATGGTTTACACTCATGAGAATTTGATTGATTGTTCACAACATCGACAACACTTGACTTTGTAACTATTTCTTGAGAATGATTTTTGGGCGCTGAGCCTTTATTTGATTTGCGGCCTAGTAAAGCACACAAATAATAAAGGTTACAAACCATTATAACACAAATAATTTAAACATACTATAACATTCTACATACAAAGATGTATTTCAGCAGAAACATGATTTTCATTGATTATGAATATGTAGTGGACATTGACCAGTAATACTGATCAAAAAAATAAGTGTACATCAGTTGTTGACAAAGCATGTGTGCCCTTTACCACAAAAACTACATACATAATATATGTTCACATCACAAAGCGTATAAATAAATTAACGTTATTTTAGCGTCTTCAACAATCTTAACTATTCCATTACCGTACCTACGATAAACCAGTTGGAAAACAAGTTTTCACTTTGGACATTCGTCTATGAAAGTTCAGACGAAAAAGGAGCTAGCAATTAGAGCACGTAACTGACAAAGTAATCACTTTAAGTCTGAGTTCACTGTAGGTTCGACTTGACCAATAGCATTCAAGTAACGAGATTTTAATAGGGAAGTATAATTTTGGCACGCCACTTAGAGATGGGTTCTAATGCTGAAAACCATCTACTTCAGAGAAACACGACCACAATAGCAATAATTTACGTATCCTTAGAGCTTCATACTTGCCAATCACTATCATCGCCCACTGAAATTTATGGGACATTTGTGGTGGTAATTTTAGAACAGACTTACACTACGTAATCACCATTACTTAATCTGTCGAAATAAATACGAAAGATATCGGTTGTGCATGACACGAATTCAGAAAATTGCTGCACTGAGCCAGATATCATTGTTTAAAATGAACGGACAAGATGAAATCCACAATATTTTAGTCTGGATAGATGTACCAAGATTCATATGTTGAAAAATAACACACAGAATTGACAAAGTTGTTTACCTTCTTTTATGAATTCATCATCTAGGCGACTATCCGTTTTAAGCAAGTGCGAATCAGATTTACGAGAGTCTTTATGTGTTGACTTGGGCATGTTTGGATCATTACCATTAACAGGTTTATTGAGACTTGGAAGTATTTGTGGTGGTGGTGGTGGTGGTGGTGGTGCAGGAGAACGATATTTTTTCTCGGATTCCTAAGAGCAGTGAGAGAAAGTATCAACTACAATCACGTCATGTGAATAAAAATGACAAATTAAACTCAAGTACAACATCATCCGATTAGACTGATCAGACATTATGTTTACATTGCATACATACCAAAAAACATTGATTTTCCACATCCACATGGAAAAGAGACAATGAAACAGTCACAAATGGAATCCGCTCACCATAGAAATACAAAACCACAATAATACATTTGTTAAACACAATTCAATATTTTAAACGAGTTACTCAAAACGCTAATGCGTGCGTAGAAAGGAATCTAAGGTCATTGTGACTGAAAGAGAAACCAACACACACAGTACAGCTTCCACAAAAGATAAATAACAAATCGTATGATGGATTTCGAAATAACACTGATCACTCTTTTTAGTCTATTCTAGAGATCAGAATCAATGGTAAATATATTTATTTTATGAACAAGTAGGACATAAATTATCTGAAAATATTGGCTTCAGTCTGTCTGGCGCAAACTCAGTGTCTGGAAGACCATTTATAACTCCAACTTCAGCCCTTCTAGGTTCACTGCTAGTCCCAAACTCGGATAAGGAAGCAAGTTTGGACATGGGTTTATTAAACCTTTCTGAAAAATAGCTAATCAGAAAAATCATTTCAATCATTCAAACTCTCTCCTGTGAGCTGAAGGACATTAATTCAGAAGAGTTATGACGACCCCAAGTGGAAGACGAGATTTTCTAGAAGTCATGAGTCCGATGCCCCTTCTGACAACCAGAGCGACAATTATTATAGGTACATGGAACATCCAAACAGTGGAGGAGACCGGGTGAACCAGTGAAATAGCTCCTGAAATCAGGAGATAAAACCTGATGGTGTTCGGAACAAGTGAACGCACTGCACCAATGATAGACAGAAAAAATCACTTTCAAGAGAGTAGCTATTGTACTCTAGTGGTGAGGGAGAAAATCTGTGGCATACACAGAGTTGCACTGATGATTTTCATAGAAATACGAGAACTCATGAGATTGGAATCTCATGGACCTAGGATCATCAAAAGATACTTCAAAACACAGAAGGGGGGATCCTAATGAATGTTATCCAGTGCTATGCGCACATCAATCATAGCAACGAACACTATAAAGAACAGTATTATGAGAGGCTCTAGTCGATCGTAGATAAGTGCTCACTAAAAGACCTGACGGTCTAGATGGGACCTAAACCCCAAGGTTGGGATGGACAACATCAGGCATGGAGATACCATGGGACGACATGGACTAGGAGAAAAAGGAACGAAAATTGTGAGACGTTTGCAAATTTATATGCATTCAACAAAATGGTTAGGGGTGGAACTATATTCCCCCACAAACACATACATATAGCTACACGAGTTTCATCGAACCACAATACACAGAACCACATTTGCATCAATAAAATATTCAGAAGGTTCATGGAAAACGTGAAAACAAACGGAGGAGCTCACATAGCTTCGGATCACCACTTTCTCGAGACCGAGATGAGATTGGAGCTAAAAGAGCACTGAACAGCAGAGCAAACAATATTACAAAAGTTTGATACAGTCTTTCTTCGAGATACTGACAAACTCAATTAATTCAAAATAGGTATCAACAGCAGGTCAGGTTCCAACACTTACAACATTAACTTAAACAAGAGGAAGCTACTATGAACAACAACTGGAAAGGGATTAAGGAAGCATCAACGTCAACATGACTGGAGCTGCTGGGTTGCAAGTAGCACTGTCATAAACAGTAGGTCTCTATTGATATCCTGAACAAAAGTAAAGGATGGAAAGAAGGAAGTACAAGAAAACAGTAATTACGAACAGCCGAACAACAGCGGAGAAAGCCAAGGCACAAGGAGAATATACCGAAGCAAACAAGTGAGTGAACAGGAGCGGAAATATGTGGAACGCCAAGTGATGATAGCGGAAAAAGTCGCAAGAGAAGGAAATATGACACAGTTATATAATACAACGAATAATCTACCAAGAGAATATAGTAAAACACAGTGTCCAATCAAGGACAAAGAAGGTAAACCACACATTGAGATTTAAGAACAGACGAACAGGTGGATAGAACATTGGAGATCTCTTGAATGAGCCAGCTCCACTGAACCCGCTGGACATCGAAACAGCACACACAGACCTTCCTTATAGCTGTCACTCTACCAACAATCGGAAAAATCGGCAGGGCCATCCGACAAATCAAGAGCTGGAAAGCAGCAGGACCTGACAATATACCAGCTGAAGCACTGAAGTCAGACACAGAAGCAACAACAAAGAAGCTACACGTTCTATTCAGGAAAAATTTGGCGGGAGAACAATTGCCGACAGACAGTAGAGAGGAACATCTCATCATGATACCAAGGAAAGAAAATCTCAGCAAGTGTGAGAACTATACAGGCATCACATTACTACCAGTACTAGGAAACGTTCTCAACACAGCGTTGTTGAACCCGAGTAGACGCCCAACAGGCTGCATTTCATCAAGTTTGATGGCATACCGACCAAATCGCGGCACTACAGATCACCGTTGAACAATCAGTTAAATGGAACACATCGATTAACATCAACTTCCCCGACTATGATAAATCAATTAACGGTGTAGATAGGAGAACCTTATAAAACTTTCTTTGACATTGTGGTGTTCCTGAGAAGATATTCAACATAAGGAGTTTTAACGATAAACTACACTATAAACTCGTGCATGGAGGGTAGAACACAGATCCATTCCAAGTGAAGACGGCTGTCGAACAGGACAGCTTATTATCATTTCATTTTCTTTTGGTGGTTGACTCGATTCACACCTGAGGGAAAACATGGAATAAAATGGACAGCTCGGAGTCAACTAGAAGACTTTGGAGATGACCCGCCTCTTCTATATCTCATACACAAACTCATCAAAATCATTCAAATGAAAACACAACACTCCTTAGAATATATGTTTTTCTAGGCAATATCCATAAACAAACCTTCTTTGTAATGGACGTCATTGTGGTAGATGGTTTACACTCATGAGAATTTGATTGATTGTTCACAACATCGACAACACTTGACTTTGTAACTATTTCTTGAGAATGATTTTTGGGCGCTGAGCCTTTATTTGATTTGCGGCCTAGTAAAGCACACAAATAATAAAGGTTACAAACCATTATAACACAAATAATTTAAACATACTATAACATTCTACATACAAAGATGTATTTCAGCAGAAACATGATTTTCATTGATTATGAATATGTAGTGGACATTGACCAGTAATACTGATCAAAAAAATAAGTGTACATCAGTTGTTGACAAAGCATGTGTGCCCTTTACCACAAAAACTACATACATAATATATGTTCACATCACAAAGCGTATAAATAAATTAACGTTATTTTAGCGTCTTCAACAATCTTAACTATTCCATTACCGTACCTACGATAAACCAGTTGGAAAACAAGTTTTCACTTTGGACATTCGTCTATGAAAGTTCAGACGAAAAAGGAGCTAGCAATTAGAGCACGTAACTGACAAAGTAATCACTTTAAGTCTGAGTTCACTGTAGGTTCGACTTGACCAATAGCATTCAAGTAACGAGATTTTAATAGGGAAGTATAATTTTGGCACGCCACTTAGAGATGGGTTCTAATGCTGAAAACCATCTACTTCAGAGAAACACGACCACAATAGCAATAATTTACGTATCCTTAGAGCTTCATACTTGCCAATCACTATCATCGCCCACTGAAATTTATGGGACATTTGTGGTGGTAATTTTAGAACAGACTTACACTACGTAATCACCATTACTTAATCTGTCGAAATAAATACGAAAGATATCGGTTGTGCATGACACGAATTCAGAAAATTGCTGCACTGAGCCAGATATCATTGTTTAAAATGAACGGACAAGATGAAATCCACAATATTTTAGTCTGGATAGATGTACCAAGATTCATATGTTGAAAAATAACACACAGAATTGACAAAGTTGTTTACCTTCTTTTATGAATTCATCATCTAGGCGACTATCCGTTTTAAGCAAGTGCGAATCAGATTTACGAGAGTCTTTATGTGTTGACTTGGGCATGTTTGGATCATTACCATTAACAGGTTTATTGAGACTTGGAAGTATTTGTGGTGGTGGTGGTGGTGGTGGTGGTGCAGGAGAACGATATTTTTTCTCGGATTCCTAAGAGCAGTGAGAGAAAGTATCAACTACAATCACGTCATGTGAATAAAAATGACAAATTAAACTCAAGTACAACATCATCCGATTAGACTGATCAGACATTATGTTTACATTGCATACATACCAAAAAACATTGATTTTCCACATCCACATGGAAAAGAGACAATGAAACAGTCACAAATGGAATCCGCTCACCATAGAAATACAAAACCACAATAATACATTTGTTAAACACAATTCAATATTTTAAACGAGTTACTCAAAACGCTAATGCGTGCGTAGAAAGGAATCTAAGGTCATTGTGACTGAAAGAGAAACCAACACACACAGTACAGCTTCCACAAAAGATAAATAACAAATCGTATGATGGATTTCGAAATAACACTGATCACTCTTTTTAGTCTATTCTAGAGATCAGAATCAATGGTAAATATATTTATTTTATGAACAAGTAGGACATAAATTATCTGAAAATATTGGCTTCAGTCTGTCTGGCGCAAACTCAGTGTCTGGAAGACCATTTATAACTCCAACTTCAGCCCTTCTAGGTTCACTGCTAGTCCCAAACTCGGATAAGGAAGCAAGTTTGGACATGGGTTTATTAAACCTTTCTGAAAAATAGCTAATCAGAAAAATCATTTCAATCATTCAAACTCTCTCCTGTGAGCTGAAGGACATTAATTCAGAAGAGTTATGACGACCCCAAGTGGAAGACGAGATTTTCTAGAAGTCATGAGTCCGATGCCCCTTCTGACAACCAGAGCGACAATTATTATAGGTACATGGAACATCCAAACAGTGGAGGAGACCGGGTGAACCAGTGAAATAGCTCCTGAAATCAGGAGATAAAACCTGATGGTGTTCGGAACAAGTGAACGCACTGCACCAATGATAGACAGAAAAAATCACTTTCAAGAGAGTAGCTATTGTACTCTAGTGGTGAGGGAGAAAATCTGTGGCATACACAGAGTTGCACTGATGATTTTCATAGAAATACGAGAACTCATGAGATTGGAATCTCATGGACCTAGGATCATCAAAAGATACTTCAAAACACAGAAGGGGGGATCCTAATGAATGTTATCCAGTGCTATGCGCACATCAATCATAGCAACGAACACTATAAAGAACAGTATTATGAGAGGCTCTAGTCGATCGTAGATAAGTGCTCACTAAAAGACCTGACGGTCTAGATGGGACCTAAACCCCAAGGTTGGGATGGACAACATCAGGCATGGAGATACCATGGGACGACATGGACTAGGAGAAAAAGGAACGAAAATTGTGAGACGTTTGCAAATTTATATGCATTCAACAAAATGGTTAGGGGTGGAACTATATTCCCCCACAAACACATACATATAGCTACACGAGTTTCATCGAACCACAATACACAGAACCACATTTGCATCAATAAAATATTCAGAAGGTTCATGGAAAACGTGAAAACAAACGGAGGAGCTCACATAGCTTCGGATCACCACTTTCTCGAGACCGAGATGAGATTGGAGCTAAAAGAGCACTGAACAGCAGAGCAAACAATATTACAAAAGTTTGATACAGTCTTTCTTCGAGATACTGACAAACTCAATTAATTCAAAATAGGTATCAACAGCAGGTCAGGTTCCAACACTTACAACATTAACTTAAACAAGAGGAAGCTACTATGAACAACAACTGGAAAGGGATTAAGGAAGCATCAACGTCAACATGACTGGAGCTGCTGGGTTGCAAGTAGCACTGTCATAAACAGTAGGTCTCTATTGATATCCTGAACAAAAGTAAAGGATGGAAAGAAGGAAGTACAAGAAAACAGTAATTACGAACAGCCGAACAACAGCGGAGAAAGCCAAGGCACAAGGAGAATATACCGAAGCAAACAAGTGAGTGAACAGGAGCGGAAATATGTGGAACGCCAAGTGATGATAGCGGAAAAAGTCGCAAGAGAAGGAAATATGACACAGTTATATAATACAACGAATAATCTACCAAGAGAATATAGTAAAACACAGTGTCCAATCAAGGACAAAGAAGGTAAACCACACATTGAGATTTAAGAACAGACGAACAGGTGGATAGAACATTGGAGATCTCTTGAATGAGCCAGCTCCACTGAACCCGCTGGACATCGAAACAGCACACACAGACCTTCCTTATAGCTGTCACTCTACCAACAATCGGAAAAATCGGCAGGGCCATCCGACAAATCAAGAGCTGGAAAGCAGCAGGACCTGACAATATACCAGCTGAAGCACTGAAGTCAGACACAGAAGCAACAACAAAGAAGCTACACGTTCTATTCAGGAAAAATTTGGCGGGAGAACAATTGCCGACAGACAGTAGAGAGGAACATCTCATCATGATACCAAGGAAAGAAAATCTCAGCAAGTGTGAGAACTATACAGGCATCACATTACTACCAGTACTAGGAAACGTTCTCAACACAGCGTTGTTGAACCCGAGTAGACGCCCAACAGGCTGCATTTCATCAAGTTTGATGGCATACCGACCAAATCGCGGCACTACAGATCACCGTTGAACAATCAGTTAAATGGAACACATCGATTAACATCAACTTCCCCGACTATGATAAATCAATTAACGGTGTAGATAGGAGAACCTTATAAAACTTTCTTTGACATTGTGGTGTTCCTGAGAAGATATTCAACATAAGGAGTTTTAACGATAAACTACACTATAAACTCGTGCATGGAGGGTAGAACACAGATCCATTCCAAGTGAAGACGGCTGTCGAACAGGACAGCTTATTATCATTTCATTTTCTTTTGGTGGTTGACTCGATTCACACCTGAGGGAAAACATGGAATAAAATGGACAGCTCGGAGTCAACTAGAAGACTTTGGAGATGACCCGCCTCTTCTATATCTCATACACAAACTCATCAAAATCATTCAAATGAAAACACAACACTCCTTAGAATATATGTTTTTCTAGGCAATATCCATAAACAAACCTTCTTTGTAATGGACGTCATTGTGGTAGATGGTTTACACTCATGAGAATTTGATTGATTGTTCACAACATCGACAACACTTGACTTTGTAACTATTTCTTGAGAATGATTTTTGGGCGCTGAGCCTTTATTTGATTTGCGGCCTAGTAAAGCACACAAATAATAAAGGTTACAAACCATTATAACACAAATAATTTAAACATACTATAACATTCTACATACAAAGATGTATTTCAGCAGAAACATGATTTTCATTGATTATGAATATGTAGTGGACATTGACCAGTAATACTGATCAAAAAAATAAGTGTACATCAGTTGTTGACAAAGCATGTGTGCCCTTTACCACAAAAACTACATACATAATATATGTTCACATCACAAAGCGTATAAATAAATTAACGTTATTTTAGCGTCTTCAACAATCTTAACTATTCCATTACCGTACCTACGATAAACCAGTTGGAAAACAAGTTTTCACTTTGGACATTCGTCTATGAAAGTTCAGACGAAAAAGGAGCTAGCAATTAGAGCACGTAACTGACAAAGTAATCACTTTAAGTCTGAGTTCACTGTAGGTTCGACTTGACCAATAGCATTCAAGTAACGAGATTTTAATAGGGAAGTATAATTTTGGCACGCCACTTAGAGATGGGTTCTAATGCTGAAAACCATCTACTTCAGAGAAACACGACCACAATAGCAATAATTTACGTATCCTTAGAGCTTCATACTTGCCAATCACTATCATCGCCCACTGAAATTTATGGGACATTTGTGGTGGTAATTTTAGAACAGACTTACACTACGTAATCACCATTACTTAATCTGTCGAAATAAATACGAAAGATATCGGTTGTGCATGACACGAATTCAGAAAATTGCTGCACTGAGCCAGATATCATTGTTTAAAATGAACGGACAAGATGAAATCCACAATATTTTAGTCTGGATAGATGTACCAAGATTCATATGTTGAAAAATAACACACAGAATTGACAAAGTTGTTTACCTTCTTTTATGAATTCATCATCTAGGCGACTATCCGTTTTAAGCAAGTGCGAATCAGATTTACGAGAGTCTTTATGTGTTGACTTGGGCATGTTTGGATCATTACCATTAACAGGTTTATTGAGACTTGGAAGTATTTGTGTGGTGGTGGTGGTGGTGGTGGTGCAGGAGAACGATATTTTTTCTCGGATTCCTAAGAGCAGTGAGAGAAAGTATCAACTACAATCACGTCATGTGAATAAAAATGACAAATTAAACTCAAGTACAACATCATCCGATTAGACTGATCAGACATTATGTTTACATTGCATACATACCAAAAAACATTGATTTTCCACATCCACATGGAAAAGAGACAATGAAACAGTCACAAATGGAATCCGCTCACCATAGAAATACAAAACCACAATAATACATTTGTTAAACACAATTCAATATTTTAAACGAGTTACTCAAAACGCTAATGCGTGCGTAGAAAGGAATCTAAGGTCATTGTGACTGAAAGAGAAACCAGCACACACAGTATAGAGTTCACAACGATGAGTAAAAATTCGTACTATATGTTCCGACCTAGAGTTTTTTTTTATAATTGGCGGTCCATATAAAAGAATGTATTTATTAGGAGGTAGTAATTATATTTGAAGTTGTTATATTTGTTGATTATACTTGTTTAATTTTGTGATAATTAGAATTCAGCTTCTTTATTATGATATTCATTTATCAGTGGTAAGTGCTACACAGTTTAATTTACTCAAAATGTGGCTGTTGTTTATTGTAAACAAAAGAAGTTTTAGAATGTTGTTTTTGATGTATTTCTAGTGTTATATAAATATTTGTTCTGCGTACCTGTCTTTTTCCTTGTATTGTATCATATCAGTTTTGTTTATTGACAGCACAAAATGAATAATGAATATGTTGGAATTATAAAGCAGTAAGACAAAAGTTGTCTGAAATTATTGGCTTCATACTATCTGGCTCAAATTCAATATCTAGTAGATCATTTTTGTTAAGATAAAAACTATTCAAAGCTCTCTGATTTACTGTCTTATACATCTTTAACTGAATTCATAACAATTATGTTTATGGAGTATTGATCAGGTTAAATATTTAAACGATTGTAGTGGGCGCAGGAATATTCCTACGCCTGAATTAATAGGTATAATCGATGCTGGTACAAAAAGCACTACATTTCTGACAAGTTACATCCTTTTGTTTTGTATTATCACTAAAGGGGCTGGAATCTCTCGACCACGGGCTTTGTATTTACCAAGATTTGTCAAGAAGCGCTTCTGAAACGTTTAGAAAAATTATGTCCGCCTAGATGATTCTCGAAACATCGCTTAGTGCTCCAGTCATTTATTATTAGTTAGTTATTTAGTTCCCGAACTGAGCTGTTTGGTCTTGGAGTAGTCACTTTCCCAGTGCTTGTAAAAATTAATTAACCGAGGAAGCAATGTTTTTGGTAAGTGAACCAAGATATGCCCACGTTTCTAATTTAATATTATATCAACTTAGTTTTGACGTAGTTTGTTGAATACAGCTGCGTTTATGTATCTTCTAAATTAAAGAAATACTGTGGTGCGTGCTACTTATATTGATATGAGTAGTATATAACGTGAGTCAAAAGAACGTAATGTCTGGCAGCAGAAGATGGAGAAGATCAAGAAAAGAAGAGCGAGAAAACAATGGAATTTGTAAGAAATCGCATGAACAATGAAATGCGAGACATCAGATATGATAGAATGATATTTTGCAAATTAACGATTTACTATATGGTTTTTCTATTTTACCAAGTAATTCTGTAATTTGTCCTAAATACAATTTGGTTGTCCTCAACCGTGTTCTTCTTCACTACAATACTCTCCCCGAAATGTATATATTGTCAAGACAAAAATTCATGAGACAAAATACAAACACGCAAACCTTCTTTGTATTTGAATTCACCATGGTAGACGATTTACGCTTGTGCAAATTTGATTTATCTTTCACAATAAATGATTTACTCCGTAATTCTTGAGAGCAGTTACTAATTGAGTCCTTATTTGCTTGAGATCCTAATAAAGAATAGGAATAATACAATAAATGAAAATCAATTCAGTATGAATTATCTATAGTACGTTCAGAGCGGTGATACCACAGTGAACAATAAATCACTTGAATAACTCTATAAAGTTTAAAAATGAGTGATATGTATTACTGTAGACTAAGTTCACTGATTAATAACCACTTACATTTCATTAGTTATAAATTAGCATTCCTAAAACTACTTTGTAAAATTCTAAATGATTAAAATATTAGATGTTGGATAAGTCCCAAAGATCATTCAGTGGAATCTCACCCACACACGAATTAGATAACAAATACTAAATGTTCAATGCTTTTTAAAACAAATTACCTCAGTAACAAAGAAGTAATCAATCTTTCACGACGAATTCTTAGACTAATTTATTACCTATTTATTTGTCTGATTTATCTTTTTCTGTGTAATTAACAATATAACTGTTTAACAATAACTTGAAGTACTGTTCAGTTAGTAGGTATCATTACCAAGGTTTAATTTGATAATTTCGAATAAATCGAGCATTGGGTAGATTGTCATAAATAAGTTAATATATTCGCAATGTCCCAAAGAGTAGAAAAATGAGATTTTCTGACGTTTCGTGACTTAGTGTAAGCCACTTCTTTAGAGAATAAACAACCAAATTAAAATTCTTGTTGTTCTGTTGTACTATTTAAACTTGGATTTATTTCAATTTTGTTGTTTATTCTCTGAAGAAGTGGCTTACACTAAGTCACGAAACGTCAGAAAATCTAATTTTTCTACCTACTGGGATATTACAAATATCTTATTTACTGTTCACTTATATTTTATTTTTTTATTTACAGAAAGAATATAGGAAAATACAGAACTGACCAGCCCAAAAATGATCAACAGAGACTAGGACTTACCAACAACTGAATTTCGTTTATCGTCCAATCTTTTATTATCATTTTTCTTACTTGGTAGTGTTACACAACTAGAAGACTGTACCTTGTCAGGTACATCGGCAAAAGGTGATAAATGTCGATGAGTTATTTGTTGTTTAGCAGGTACACTTGGTGCTGGACGCCTTTTATGCTTACTTTCAGTAGAGATCTTAGTTAACAATAACAACACAGAAAAGATTATAAATTAATTAAACAGCTATTAGGCCTAGAAAAATTATAAAGTATTGTACATAAAGCTTGCAATTCAACTATATTTATTACTAACTTTTACCATATATTCATGTTAAAATTACTTATCAGAAAATTTATTTTAAACCAACTCAATTAATAAGCACTTGATCATGACTCAGTATATCATAGTTCAAATGGTTGCACAGTTAGAAGACAGCCGTCATTACAGACAAAAATACCAGGGAAACCTGAATGTTGATGACTTACAATTCGATGTAATGTTGTAATTATGGTTTGTTGAGATGTTTAAAACAAGGACAGATATCTAGTGGCTACTCGGTTTGGGTAGTTCATTAGATGATATTAGTCTATGATGAACACGTTGAAAATGATAAAACTGTGAATAAACGCCAAAGTGAGCTAGTATGATTATTACTAGTAATTTCTTCGCTTCATATGATTCATTGTAAAAAAAATTCTCTTAATTATTAACGCATAATTAACGATAACATTTATCCCTGTTCTTCAATTAAAATACACACAGATTTCCAGATGACCTTATGTAATTAATGACAAATTAACTATTTTTCGACTTTTCACACTATCATAATTCCTATTATTACGGCCCACCCACCCTTTATTGAGTAGCATTCTTGGACAATACTTCACTCAACAAGTCTCTAAATCAGAACACGGTTGAATAGGAACGTAATTATATTCCAAATAACAAGGTTGAATAGAAGTAGGAATCCCAACAAGATAAACATCAGAATATTTATAATTTTCACATGAGAAGATTCTTCTCCAAGTCTCCGCTAGCGCTGATTGCTCAAGAAATAGCCGACCAGAGTGCCTCAACACAATGCTGCACGGAGTATGCTTCAATTCAATCTATGTACCGCTAACACAAACTTAGTCTCTTGTAAAATAATATTCTGGTGTACTATTATTATTATTACTACAGATATTATAAAAATAAATTTTGTTTACTAGAGAGTACTCTGACCTAAAATGTTAATAGTCTAGAAATCATTATCAGAAATGGGTTTTTTGGAGATTGTAGTAATTTAACAGTTGAATTCATGAGTGGATTAAAGCCAGACCACCTTGGAAAACCTAGAAGCACTGCATGGCCGTTTCGTCCTAGTACGAGACTCCTCAGCGATGAGCATTCACGACCCCGCTTGCGGGATCCGAACTCAGGACTTCTGATCCCGCGTGCGAACGCTTAACCTCTAGACCACTGAGGCAGCATCCAACAGTGTAAATGTCTAACTTCAACCAATCCACGAAATCGCGCCACCATGGATGCGCACTTCTGAGGAGTCCCATACTAGGACGAAAAGGTAGTCCAGCGCTTCCAGGTTTTCCAAGATGGTCTAGCTTTAATGGACTCGTGAAGTCTAGAAATTATCTTTAAACAGCAATGTGACGTTAATTAATTACAAAAAATAAAACAGTGGTCTTCTAGGTTGAAACATTCATTTAGAGTTTTCAAATCACTATATCAGAGGCGAAAAATGTAAAAACTTAAGAATGTGTGTCAATAGTCAATGAATTTAAGAATTGATTCAATGACATGAGACTTTTTCATCCCACTACTATGCTGCAAATCGCTGGCTAGTGATATGTAACACGAACCTAAACAAATTCACTCGTTGGAAATCCAGGACTGTCCAAAAGACTGGCTACTAACATAACTTCTTTAATACTAAGTCACTTATGTTATCCACTAATTCAATATAAATGATGGAACTCAAGAGGTAACTGAAATGGCCATTTTAAAGACTAGTTGAACAAAATTCTTACTTCCACTTCCAAATTAGATATCACAGAGTCATCATTTTGACTCTTTTTGTGTGACTTTGAGTTCTTGCTAGATTTAACTTTTCGTTCTGCAAGATAAAAGATTTAAAAAATCATAACAGACAGACACCAAGATTTTAATATAGGGAGTGATTTGCAAGTTTTAACAATTTTTAATAGCTGTAAATTCATACAATTGGAGAAATTACATCAAGCGGCTTTCTCATCTATTTGTTTACAAACAAGCGTGCAAGTAACCGTCAAGCAGCGATTCAGTTAGGCAAGCTTAACTGTTCAAATATCACTGCCTAATTTTTTGAACCATATTTCTTATGTTTAGCCTTACATCGGAACAGCCATTATTATTATTTTTACCGTTCTTTCCATTCCAGTGATATTCTTTCGCATAGCTCTTTATTCAGTAGCCACATAGAACTTTGGTTGTTCCTTGAAGATAAGCTAAGAGTTAACTTCAGTTCTCACACTTAAACTACCATTGCTTTTCATGTTATTTTCCATACTATGCTTTCCATTTTGTCTGTTTCCTCTAGCTGCATTGATGCAAGCGGAGGCAACTTGGAGTGACGCAAACCCATCCCAGGTCCTACATAGATAACGACTAATTGAGTGACTGATTACTTAAAGATAAGATCAAATAATTTTAGTTTTTCTAGGTAATCAACCTTTGACGACCACGTAAAGTGGCTACATATTGAGAGAACAATAACTCATGTTCAAAATGAACAGTCTCGGAGACCAAATATTTCGACACTCCTGCGAATGTGGCAAAATGGTGAAATAAAGTAGATTTAAACGTAATACATGCTATTGGACAGTAACCATGTCCCAAAAAGAATAGCAAACCACTCGGCCATTGGTTGATTAGTGATATTATTATAACTATGTAGTCTCAAGTGGTATATTACAATTGTTTGACACTCACTATAACCGAACTACAAAAAGACTCTTGAAACAAATATGTCACTGAAATTTTTAATCCTTAAAATAGCTGCCAGGTTCTACGTTGTTTATGACTGACCTTAGAACATAGTCACTAAGGAAATGATAGAAAGGATGTTTCAGAATTAAGAAAGAATAAATAAATGATAAAAGAGCCATTTCGTAAACCTGAAATTTAGCTAGTTTTTTAATCACATGATTACAATTCAGAATTAAAAGATCATGCAACCAAGGATTTTAATCATTATAAGACCATAATCTTTCCAGTAAAGACAGGAAGAATTAAGCGCCAATTTAAATAGCCCTTGATGGTCGTTTTGAGCAACTCTGGCTGGCGGGTTATCGAAAGCTATCGGTTTTATTTATATCACGTTTGTTACATCTATATCAACTTTGCAGAAGCTAGTAACAAGATAATAAATGGGTTATTATAAAGAAATCCAAACCGAGTTACCAACCTTTAAGTTCAATTTGGTCTGCATTTTGATTTAAGAATGTATCTTTTGGATCTAAAATCGTTCCCTTTTGGGGATCAGTAATGTAGTAGTCGCTTAATTGAACATGACGCTCCGAAGACACCTGAAATGAAAGCAAGGCAAAATCGATGGCGCTAAACATGTATATCGTCAGTAATTGAATACATCACACACCGAATAGCACACGTTAGTCCCTAAAATTGTCAAAAGATTCAGCCCACTGAAAATTAAAGGAATAAGTCGGCAGATTCAGACTACGATATATTTACCGCCTCAGACAAATCATACCACTTAAAGGTCTGGATCGGTCAATAAAAAATAAAGCACACAACCCGAGGAAGTTAGACCGGCTTCAGACCTGGTTATCGATGTACTGAAAGTCTTCGCCGTTCAGTAGGTTTGAAAACATAGGCACCTGTACTACCAGCCAGTTGTGACCATGTTTATTAACCTGAAAAATCAGTAGTCTAAGTCGGTCACCTTTGGTGCCGACGCGACATTTGAGAAACATAAACAGAAGTATGACATAATACAAATGTGTATCAGTTCAAATCTTCTACGTTTCGTACTGCCATATCTAAAAGAAATTAGAACGACAAGGAGTGGAAACAATGATACTGACGGTGATAAATGATGTAAAAATAGAGATAACAGAATTCAAAGTACAGAACAAATCGGCAAAGCTAAAGAAATAGTAAGTTGAGGCAGCATCGCGCCAAACCACTATGCAAAATTCGACCGAAAAATGCTTACTTTTTGAAGTACTTTACTAATAGGTTGATCTAAATGTCCACGAACGACAATTGTGCAGTCTTCTGGTAAATGCACAGTAATCCGATGTCCCAGCTAATTTTAGAAATGCAGATAAAAAACCAGTAATGTAGTGCATTAACAAGTATACATTTACAGAACAACAGCTTTGAAGTTTTTCCTTCTACTATACAGCAGTAAAAACTGTATGGCAAGAACCAGTAGTGGATAAAACGAAAAACAAATAAATGAAATCATTGAGACGTATAAATGATTCAGAGGTCAAACCAGTTTTAGGGGATTAAGAAATGAACGGAATTTACGAATTATTATTGCAGTAGAATACCCCGTGAGCTAAGATCAAAGAAAAAGCAAGTACTGCTTGACAAACACATTAGACCAAATGGTAGTTGTCTAAAAACTGTAAATGAGCACTTTGAAACCAGTTGTTACCATCATTAATAGTGGTATGATTTTGGGAGAGAAAATTGAAACTGCTGACTACTGAATTATGTGATTTAGAGCTGATCTCCAATAACTTTGACACAAAACATGTTTATAAATACTTTTTTCTTTTTGTGTCTACTTAAACCACTGTTCAAAACTTTGTGTCTAGCTTATGAAATAAAATCCGACAAGGTCATTAGTAACTCAGTAAACGGAAAAAAATTATTTATAACTCACTTCGTTTAAAAAATCTCTCCCCGTTTTTAGGAGTGTAATAGGGTATTTGAACTTCGTGTCAAGGAATGGATACTGATAAAGCTTAGCAGACTTCTTGAAACAGCATTTAGCAATGAGCCTAACCATAGATGGTAGCGTTGTTTGAGTTGTATCAGAATTAACCCAATGGCCAAGCCTACTCCTAGAAGGAGCAGAAAGCCAAAAGATGCCTGAAACTCCAGAAAGGCCCTCGCAAGGAACTAAGAAAGTGTAATCCACTGCTTCTAAGCCACATAATGAGCAAAGTCGAACGAGGAAATCAGAACATTGCATGTCGAAGTTCACACCATAAACGCGAATAAACTCTTCAGTAGCGATACACTCGACGTCGACATACGATCCATTATCACCACAATCCATATAATAAAATCTCGTGGGGTCATAATTTTCAAAACCCCGGGAGTTGCTGCCGAATTCTGAACGATCCTTAGAGGACTTCGAGTAGATGATGTTCTTAAGCTTTTCAATTGCATCAGCCAAACCCATATCCTTACTTAATGTGTAGTATTAAATTTGAAACACTACAGTCCCCACAGAAATTCCCAGCAAAATTGACAAGAGTCGTCAGTGGACTAGAAGAAAATGAAATAAATATTTGATTTAGGAATTTATCCCAGATTTTAGTTTATGTTTATAAACTTTCCAATGTTACCACCTAGAAAAAACTTCGACAAAAGCAAGACAATTCGGTTTTGAGATAGAGTACTGCCTAATATATTTATTTCCCAAACTTAGATAAAAGAGAATACACTACGTACAACAGCATTCTTAAAAGTCGTCAATTTTGTTTTGCTGACAAAGACGATTTTAACACAAACGATGTAATCATATATAAATATGAGTATTTACTGGAATGTTTTTTAATTACAAAGGTAACAGATGTCTAGATTTTCAGTGATATTCAAATCCCTAGTTCCTTCAACTTTATGTTTATTCACTTTTATACACTTTATGCATATTGTCATGTTATTCCTCACTATTGCTTCGATTTAAGATGACAAAAGAACGCTTTTGAAAAGCTAAAGTAAAATTAAGTTGATATGACCTCACGAGTAGTAATTATTTCAAAGTGAAATGATATGCAGAATGTCAACAAGACAAAACACCGCCTTGTTTCATAAGGTCACCTGAGGAAGACCGTATTAGTAATGGTACAAAAAAACAAACTACAATGTCCAAGAAAACTGAATTTTCTGTAATTTGTTGCGAAGTCATATTTGTGTAATACGCTTTCAAGTTACGAAGTTAATAAATACCCAAAATAGACAGTCCTGTACTGGTAGTGTTGATGGTTGTGCACTACCGAGGAGTACCGTAGTGAGACGAAATAGCCGTTCAGTGCTTCCTGTCTTCGATAGTAAGGATGGGAGAACAACCCACCTATCTCAATCCTGGCAATTTATAGTACCGTGAAGATCCGATCTCTCGCTGAATGTATCAGGTGCTGACAGTACGTGTTCTCGAAAGGAACATTAATTCACTACTCGGTTTGATAACTGCGTAGCGGCAAATAAGTTCCCGAGATAAATGGCTAAACAAGGCTTCGGCATTGACGATGGTCTCATTGGTTTTACTGGGCACACCCTGACTGAAGGCTCTTTGTCACACATCCAAATCAGACCACGAGTAGGCACGCCGTGCTACTCATCCTTTTTGACTACCAGCCAGGTCAGATTAAGCGCTCCTCAATACATCAACAATCTTCCGAATATGTGCTCAAGTCTGTTTATATTTAAATCTTGCTTTAACAGGGCTGGCACACTTCCATGAGCAAGGTGTTACGGACAAGAGCGTTATCAGACCCTGAAAATCTGAGGCATATTTGATTTCAAGATCATCGTCAGTGTACGGTAAGCCAGTATTAAACCAACCTGTAATCTGTGATAAAATGACAGAAGTAGGACGTCACTTCTCAGTCTGTCTTCATAATATAGGCTGAACAGACTACTCATTATATTGATCCTTCTCTATAAAACAAGCGAATAGTTGACGAGGTCAAAATATGACTTGAGAAAAATAAGTAAATTAGTCCGTTTTGAAGCTAGAAAAACCTATGTGGGTTGATACATTACTAGCCACTACAAAGATACATTGTAAGAAGTGGCACAATAATTTGAAATAGTTTGTTTTCGTTAACACTAAGCAACGAGAAATATTGTTCTATATCAGACAGGGTACAGTATCAAGTAAGGAGTGAGTGTATAATATGAGAGTGACATATCTATGTAAACAACGAATATGAATATTACAAAAATGCGGACAAAAAGGGAAAATGTAGGCGTTTGATCATGAACAAATTAATTAGCGAACATGCATACACTTATAGCACAATTATCCTAACGAACAACATTCTTTTCAACGATTTCTCATCAAGTTCTACAATCCTATATCCAAATAAACAATCCATAAAATTGGCCAGGTTTAAAGCAGAGTTACTTACTTACTTACTTACGTCTGTTACTCCTCGTGAAGGAGCATAGGCCACTCACCAGCATTCTCCATCCAACTCTGTCCTGGGCAATCCTTTCTAGCTCCGTCCAGTTGTAATTCATCCTTTTCATATCTGCTTCTATAATCCGACGCAATGTGTTCTTTGGCCTTCCTCTTTTTCGCTTCCCTTCAGGGTTCCAAGTTAGGGCTTGCCTCGTGATGCAGTTTGACGATTTGCGTAATGTATGTCCTATCCATTTCCATCGTCTTTTCCTAATTTCCTCTTCAGCTGGAAGTTGGTTTGTTCTCTCCCACAGAAGGCTATTGCTGATGATATCCGGCCAGTGGATGTTGAGTATCTTGCGTAAGCAGCTGTTTATAAATACCTGTACTTTCTTGATTGTGGTTGTTGTACATCGTTGATATTATAACATGTGAATTAAGGATTGTTTGTAATGTAAAATCAAATTGTTAATGCTTGGGTGTCGAATATAAGGTACTAACTTGAATAAGCTCATACATTAAAGGAAATTGTGAGACCAATCATCAGAATAAATATGGTCAACATAGAGCAAGACAGAAAATAGTATATTTACAGATCGGAAATCACATAATATGTACCATGATACGAATTAGACAAGAATAAGTAGATAGAAGTGAATGCTGAATAAATATCTCAAAAGGTTAGCCAGTGTAATAATAATGATAAAATGATAATAATAATAATGACAATGGTAAGATGTGTGGATAAGTTAGGTTTATGATATAAAAACGAACATCGGTTAAATTACGTCACCATATCATAAAAAATTAATAATGACTAGTTGGCTTCGAAGTTGGCCAAAGTGAAAGGAGCGGCTGAACATGTTTCTTTTGGATGCAAAGCTCTGGCACTTTAGTCCGAATAGCAATTACTTCAACCGTCTGTAGAATTCCCAGTATAATGGAGTTAGGGAGACTGTTGTTAACATGATATATTATTATGAAAGATTGCTCCATGTTGGTCGTTTATTCTTTTCGGATTAAATGAGCTTAAATGGAGCTGTTAACAGTTTTAACTGTGCATTTGCTTAACCGCACACATACATTTATAACATGTTCGCATAAGCGATTCGAAGTGGCGTGAAAACAGAGTAATAAATAGTTTATGGGCATGACAGGAATAATCCGTGAGAGTAAGTAGAGTGGAATATTACAGATATTGGCCTGTAGTGCAGATAGAATATGAGGATAAAGATTAATTGATTGTAAAATAGTTCCAATAAGCCTCAGTAGAGTAAATAGTGTCGATTAGTTTCGTAGGACAAGAATAATCCAGCCATAAAATGGTAACTGCATTGATGAATGAAATTTGTTGCTGTACTGTAATTGGCACTAATCATAAAATGCGAAGCCAGTGTTGTTGTTGCTTGTGTCATAACCAAATGAATCGAGTTATCGGTAAATATGCATTGATAGAATGACCAGAGGAAGAGAGTAGTGCCTTCGAAGACGAGATATAAGGAGTCGTGTTCTTTTTTGTCATGCCTAGTATTGTTTGTGTAGTTAGAGGGATATGTACTGGACTTAGTTTGTTACAAAAGCGTACTAAGGCGTGATAAAAGTGTTAATACATATGACTATCGATGACGGGGGAGTGAGACTGGCTTTGATGTGACGAATAAGAGTATGTCTTTGAGAGACTAGCTCTGTGCTCTGATCTACAGTGTGGCAAGGACAGAATTTTAGTTTCAGTAATCAAGTACTGTTTGCGGGTAATGAGTGATGCAGCATGCAGTTTTACATGTGAACACTTAAATAAGATTAACATAATTGTCACTTATTGGCTAGTAATGCAACAACGAATATTTGATGCATGTGTGGACAATAAGGCAAGGATCATCGAATAAACAAAGAGGGGCGGAAGCTCTGTTTGTTTTGTCGTTAAGAAAGTGGAAGACAACGATTGCTGCGTAATAATGCAATGAATGGGCATTAGTTTCATATCGAGACCCTAACTTCGCGTTACAGAGTGTATGACTCCAAACCTGTGTCTGTAATAGCGTTGTTAACCGTTGCCAGTGATATGGTAGCTGCGATCGTGCTATTTTCAGCGTAAACAGGTTCACTCGACTGTTAAAACTGACTATTTATATGCCTACGTGAGTCGCTAGACCGTCAATTCACTTAGCATGTTGCAGGTTGTTCGATGTACAAGTAGCTAGTAAATAAGTTGAAGACAAATGACATGCTATTACCGTATATCCGCAAAAGTGAACGATAATGAATGGGTCATTGGTGTGGCAGGTACTTCTGAACATTAAAAAAGCTAAAAAAAAAACGTGGTTGCAGAATAGTATGAATTCAATATATTCGTGATTTTATAGAATTCTGGTCTACTTCGTTATTAATACTGCTATAATAATAGAAATAACCCTGAAATTTCAGATTTTTCATAGTATGACTGTCTAGTCATTGAGATTACACATGGAAGTCACATCTCTCCACGCTGACTCGTCGTATCATACTGAACACTTTGAAAGAACATATTTTGTCTGGGGATGGAATAATAAATTCAATAGGTATCATTACAAGGTTTAAGTTGATCATTTCAAATAAAATGAGCATTGGGTAGATTATGGTAAATAAAAATAATACATTTGTAACATCCGAATGAGTAGAAAAATGAGATGTTCTGACGTTTCGTGACTCAGTGTAAGCCACTTCTTCAAAGAACAAATAACCAAATTAAATCAGTCCAAGTTCAAAAAGTACAATGGGATAAAGCAAGAATATCAAGTGCTGTCAACAAGAACATGTCTGAAAAGGTCAATGTGATGTCATTCTGATCAAGATGTCTTATATTAGACATGTGTGTCACTATGGAAGAGCATCTGAAGCAATAACGACAACTATTCATGCAACTACGAAAGCATGGAATCTCTGCAAACGTTGAGATGTGTGAGTTCGGAAAGGGATCCCTGTAGTTACTAGGTCACATAGCAACTTCGCAGTGTATTACGCCGATCTCAGCAGAAGTCCGTGACATCAGAGATTGTCCATTATCCGACTCTTGG